ATATTCATAGCAACAGATAACTACACACTTCAACACAGGCATATGCATGATGTATTCCAGTAACGTATTTATTATACTGTAATACAGGGAACATCACAGCACTGAGCAAAGGACATAGGAGTGCTGTTCTGCATAGGGCACGCTAGATGGCAGATTTCAGTTAAATTCTGTCTGAGATGGAAAGTTTACTCAGTAGTGAAAGTTTTAAATCAAAATGTCGATGCTAGCAGTACCCTTTAGCAGGAATAGGGAATGTTTTGCAACTCTATAAGGAGAGATTCCCTTTAAGTCAGGTTTTCTCCCGAATCAGTTTAGGACCTGACAAACCTTTGCCTCATTTTAGAAAAAAAACAGAGGAAGTCTGTGTCCATGTACAGTAAGTTTATAAACAAGCTACTTTAGACTCTTTTTCTGGGGGGAAAAAACATGAATCTTGGGGAGATGCAGCAGTTATCTTATGCACTTGCAAAGAACAATCTAAGTTTTTTTAAACAATTTGAATTATTAACCACATAATCGTACTTTTACCCAAAGGAATATTCCAGACAGTGTGCTCAAAGTGTGATACAGACTTGTAAAAGTCTGGACTCTATTTTCTATTTTTCCTTGACTGTAGCAAAGTATAAAGTCCAGGATTAAAAGAAGATGGAGAAGGAACATAGACCTCTGACAAGCACAGTGAATTCATTCATTCTGTCCAACGGAACGGAAGTGGAAACAGTCACCAGCTTTAGGTTTTTGGGAATTCACATTTCTAAAGATCTAACCTGGACTGTGGACACTGACTCTAACATGAAGAAGGCTCAGCAGTGCCTCTATTTCTTGAGGTGCCTCAAGCAATGGGGGATGCCAGTACCTGTGTTGGTGAACTACCGCTGCACCATCGAGATCACCGTGTGGTACGGCAACACCTCTTCTAGGGAGAGAAAGGCACTGTCAAGACCACCAACCTGGCCAGACCGGCCCCCAGGAGAACTAATCAGTACCAGCAGCAGGGCGATAATTACAAGTGCCGCCAAACGTGTTAACTCAACATCAGACGCCCTACTGTGCGGCAGGCTGCACTATTTAAGCCTCTCCAACCTGCTTCCTGCTGCTCGGTATTGAGGTAACTCTCTGTGAGCTCTACCGGGCGATTCTATAACCCTGTGTCACTTTGGATTTTCGACTACCCCTTTTGCCTTCGGAAGTCGGACCACGCCTCTTGACTTGGATTGTTTGCCACCTGTGTTAGTCCTGGATTTCAACCTCCCTTTCTCCCTTCGACCACGATCTCGCCTTTCTATTCTGATTGTTTGCCACCTGTGTCTGGGCCGGATTT